AGAAAATCACCACGGGAAAAAATATTATGAGTTACTTTATGTTAGTGGAGTTTAGAAAAAGTAAATGCATATTCAGTAGTTTTTTTTATTTTTTTATTTGGCTTTTGTGTTTGAATATAACACCTTTGTTTTTTAGTTTTTTTTATTATTTCTTTAGCCGCCACTCGTTCCCTCTCACATTGGGTTTTATGTAGACCTGGAATTAATCTCATACAGTTAAGTGTGTTTCTGGCTTCTAAATCTACTTTGTCTTACCATCTGAGGCAACCTTTAATTTGTTTAATTTTCTGAAGCTTATATATGAAATATTACTTCATAGACTCTAGCCATAACATTAAACGTTATAACATTAAAAGTTTAAAATCTTTGCTGAAACGCAGTCAAGTAATTTGGAATTATATTATAATGAAAGGAGATTTAGTTCTCTTACAAGAAACACATTTTTAATTTATTTATACATTTTGGGATAACTGCTTCTCTCTTTACTACATGCTGTAAATTCATTAAAAATGGTGTCTCTATCAATTTAGGGATTTAATCACAAGCATTTGATGAGAAATTCTGGTCTCTCTTTTCAGTCTGCATTTGTTCGGTATTAGTGCAAAATGTTCTGATAAACTTTTGATTTGAATATATAGAATTCTTCATTTTTCTTAGCCGGCTCTTGACTTGTTTCTTGGTTTCAACTGTAAGTCACAAAAATGGCAGTCGAATCATACTATATTGGAATCAGTTTTTAACCTTATTAAAATTCTTGAAAATGTTTTCCATTGATGTCTTCAAGAAGGTTTCTCTAATAACCAGCTGAAGGTCTCAGAAGCAAGGGCCAGATATCTTCCCAAATTATTTTTTTTAACCCCTTAAAGACTAAATCTTATCCTTTGCCACCACCCCAGTTTGGTCCCAAAAAATCATATCCAGGCGTGCAATGTTTCAAATTAATCTGTTACAGTGTCTACAGTGTTCCTTTAACCCTTGAAGCGCCAAAAATACAACTAGCATATCGAAAAGCAATGTGTATGGCACAACTCTGGCACTGAACATGTTAAGGACAGATTGCATTGCAGGCATAGACCATCATTGATCTTTAAGAGTCATTCCCTTATCCAGCATCTGGCAACTCTAAAAAGCCATTTATTAGAGGCAGTTTTATACATTTAGCTATTAGAAAGAATTGCATTTTCTCTTACAGCCTGAAGCTGTCAAATCACTCCAACAAGCAAATCAAATATGTTTTTAAATATGATAATTGACCCGATTAATTACTAGTTCATAAAAAACATAGATTGTAAGATTTGAGATACTTAAAACAACTTTTTTTTTACAAGGTCACTGTTTTTTGAAGATTGCTAATCTTTTTTTTTTTAGGCCTATAAATTGTTACATGATAAGATGTTAGTTATTTTACAGCCAATAATTGCTCTTTTGATGGTTCCTTCTAATAATTAAAAATACCTTATTTAACAAATGCTCCAAATAACATTATTAATGATCTGTTTGGTAAAAAATAATATAAATGTAACCTTTAAACAACACAAAATATTCACTGCCTACTGTGCTGATAATTGTAAGTGATAATTGAAATGTGATAATTAGCACTCTAACTAGTTAATTTTTTAAGCCTGGTCCAATATTAGATGTAGGGACCCTTAACCCACCATTGATCATTACCTTCCATCCCATAGGCCACCAGCCTCTATTCCACAGGCCAAAGGTTTTTGAATGTAGCCCTATGTAACAGAAAGCACACCTTAGTGAAAAGGGGCCTTGACAGGGGTTAGGAGGCGGACATAGGAAGAAGCTAATGGGATTGGTTAATGGAGGGTAAGGGGCTGGGCTATATAAGTAGGCAGACATCTTGGAAAAATCACTTTTAACTTGCCTACCTGGTTGAGTTTGTCCCATCCACCCTCCCTCCCTGGGGTTCCCGTTTTGTCACAGCGGCGGGATAGGGAGCTCTAGAAAAGGAAATAAGCTCCCCAGTAGGAAGGTTATGTTAATGGTTATTGATATGTTTGGTAGGTTTCGAGTCCTGTCGGTGGCTCAGAACATGGTGGGATAGGGGTATCCAGGTATACCTCTACCATGGTGGTTAAATTATAATAAATGCTTGGCACTTTAAGTGATGTTATGTTGGTATAATGTTATATATATATATATATATGTTATTTATAGTGGGGTCATTGCCTTTTATACCTAACGGAAGGATACGGAAGTAAGGGCGGGGCATAGGGCAATGACCCAAAGGTTTCTATGTTAAGTTATTATTTATATATTTAATAAAGCCGTGGACAATTTTACCCATATACCCTAGTGTCCATGTTTTATTGGAGTAGGTATGTGGGGGGCTTGTCCAAGGTTCCGGATGCCCATATGGCGATGATTCACCAGTCAAGGCATACGGTGCAACTATATATTTTTGCTGATGTACAGATTTGATTATATTTTTAAAGTGCTTCACCTGAGAGCTGCGTTTGCCATTTTCAATTGCAGCACCGAACAAACTAAGCTAGAGATACATAGAATATTGCTCCTGCGAAATATAATAGTAAGGGCTATTTGGTGCCCCGTAGAACCATGATTTGCAGAACAATATGTGTTTTGCTTGTTCGTTTACCCATCCCTTGGTATTTTTTCTGGGAGAACAGGAGTATGATGCCACAGTAAATATAAACAGCTGGCAAACAAAGATCATTCATGATTACAGTGATATATTTACTAAAATATAGGATCATTTCTTTATGGCCTATGCTGACCTTTTATTTGACCCTGTTTTACCCATTATTTAGGTCCCAAATAAACTTTAAAAAAACATTTAAGTATTTAGAGATTTGGATTGATTTTTTTTTTCCCTTTCACTTTTTTTTCCAATTCTTTTTTTAAGAGTGAAAAAAACAAGCCATCTATATCCTTGAATTATATTATGCTATTTGGGGTCTAATTTGTACATAATATGATCTAATGTGGCTATGAGTATTTTTGTGTGTTTGTTTTTGTTTTTCTTAATTTCATTCACAAATAATAGCTGTTTGTGTTCATAATTATCCCTCTCTTTTTTTCGTTCTGTATCCTGTTACTTTTGAAAAAATAAATACAATTATACTAAGGGGAAAACAGAATTTAGCTTTCTATTTGACCAGATTAGACCATAGACCTACAATCAGTGGTGTATCCTGGTTTTGTGCTGCCATAGGCAGGACAAAACTCAGGCACCCCCTCCTCCCGTGCCACCCCTGCCCAACCTTCTAAATACACACACACACATTCACTGACAGATACGCATACACTAACTTACAGAAACACACACACACACTAACAGACACACTCACACATTTACTAACATACACACTCACTAACAGACACACTCACTCACACACTAACAGACACACACACACACTAACAGACACACTCACACTCACTAACAGACACACACTCACACTCACTAACAGACACACACTCACTAACACACACACGCTCACTATAAGACACACACACACATACTGACACACACACTCACTAACAGACACACACACTAACAGACACACACACACAGCGAACACACCATAACAGACACACACACTCACTAACAGACACACACACACACTCACACACTAACAGATACACACTCACACACTAACAGACACACACACACACACTCACTAACAGACACACACAAACAGACACACACACTAACAGGCATATACACACACTCACTCACATTAACATATTTTTTTATTTTTTATTTACCCCAGCCTCCTTACCTTTGGGAATGCTGGGGGAGGTTCCCTCTTTCCCTGGGGGTCCAGTGGCTGCTGAGGGAGCACTTCCTCTGAGCACTCTGCTCAGCTCCCTCGCGCGCCGCAGAGTGAGGCTGGGAGCCGGAATATGACGTCATATTGCCCCCTGGAAAATGCCGCCCAAGGCAAATGCCTTGTTTGCCTCGCGGCTAAAACGCCCCTGCCTACAATACAATATTCGGCCTGCCATTATTTCTGCAAAATTTTAGGAAAGCTTTTACCCTTCCCCAAAACCACATATATAATCCCTTATAGGCCTTATATAATCCAAGCCCCATAACTTTGCTCATTTGGGGATAAACCCATAGGCGTGCGCACGGGGTGTGCCTGGTGTGCCTTGGCACACCCTAATCACCGCAGCCCGCACATGGATTGAGGCCCAGCAGGGGAGATCACAGGATCTCCACTGTCGGTCCATGCAGAGCCGGCGCTAACCGAGTGCCGGCCCTGCTGTGTGACTCCATGGGAGATCCGGCCCACAGGCAAGGAGGGAGGCAAGAGAGGACCCAGGGAGCTCTAGCCAGCAGCTCCGCCGGGTTCCTCTGGCCACGGCAATGCTCAGATCTTGTAAGAGTGAACTCTAGCCCTGCAGGCTAGAGTTCACTCACCACTAGGACCACCAGGGATGGCAGCAAGGATCCCAACTCCCAGGCAAAAGGTAAGAAGGGAGAGGGACTATTTCCTAATCTGTCCCCCCACACCCACATACAATCACTCCAAAAAAATCCACACACACAGCACCCTCACACACACACATACACAGCACACAGCACCCTCACACACACAGCACACTAACAGCACCCTCACACACACAGCACACACACAGAGCACCCTCACACACAGAGCACACTAACAGTACCCTCACACACACAGCACACTAACAGCACCCTCTCACACACACACACACAGAACCCTCACACACACACACACACATAGCATCCACAGACACACACACACACAGCACCCTCACAACACACTACCAGCACTATCACACATACACACACACACACACACACACACAGCACCCTCACACACACAGCACCCTCACACACACATCACCCTCATACACACAGACACAGCACCCTCACACACACAGCACCCTCACACACACACACACACAGTAACCTCACACACAGCACACTAACAGCACCCTCACACACACAGCAGTGTATGTATGTATGTATATGTGTGTGTATGTAAATATAAACACACGCCGCGTGTATATGTGTGTGTGTGTGTGTGTGTGTGTATATATATATATATATATATATATATATATATATATATATACATATGCACGCGGCGTGTGTGTTTGTGCTTTAGAGTAAAAAGGTACCCAAGATATCCTGGCACTATAACAACTTTAGATAAACTTGCTAAGGTGCCTGAAGTGATCCTTTTAGTATCTCTAAATACCTCAAGATAATGTTAATAGTGTGAAGAATATTGGGCATATTTAGCATTTCAGCTGTCTACAGCCCCATATTTGTTAAATGACTGAGATATTGATATAGGAAGTCTAATTTGAAGATTAATCCCTAAATAGTGAGATGTAGTGACTTTACAATTAACTTGTACAATTTAAAAGAACACATTTGAGCTAGACAAAACCCTTATAATTTGCTGTTTAGTGAATTAACTCTCTGACATGTCTATCTAATCACAAATTTACATTTAGCGTTCAACTACTCCGTTTTACTTGATAATTTTGCTAGGAGTCATAGATTTCGAGATATTAGATCTATTAGTTATTATCAATCATAGTCTCTCTAGAATACATGCCTTTTGCAATTTTTCAGACCCCTCAACATTGGAAGGCTTGTAATCATAATGTTAGTTTGTGCCAAAAAGAGAACATGTTAGTCTGACGCGCAAGTGTACATGGTTGACTGACAGGTTACCGGGTTTCCCCACCCATTCATTATTCCCATAGGGTTGGTGAACTTTATGTTTTGGGGGCTTCCATCCAATCCCTGGGTCCTAGGCAGCTGCCTAAAGTTTCCTTATGGTTACTCCTGCTCTGCTGTGGAAAGGTTCTAAAATGAGCAAAAATGCCCTGAATTGGCTTCAAGAATTGAAATTTTAGGGCTTTTTTTTGTGCTACTGAGAAAAATGTATGTTTTTGTACCTTTCTATTGGATGATTAAAATTATTATTTAATTACCTAGCCTGCATGTCTGTGGAATTTAAATAGCATAGATAACATTTTTAGTCCAGTTGACTAATAATGACATATGTTTAATTGAGCCAGGCTTATCGTTAGGTAACACCACACAGTAGTCCTTTTATAAAACATAAATGCACATTTTGCAGAAGTGAAAGTTGATTTTCTTGCAGAAACACATATTAAGCATCCAAAAGTAATATACCTGACATTTGTATTTGCTATAAAACTGCACAACATGACAATACTTTGTACAGAATATAAATCCAAACTTCCCCCTGGAGATTCCCTTTTACTATCTGATTAAAATACAACTGTGATAAATGTTAAAGATGGAATTTCTTTTCCACTAGCAGCATATCAGTTTGCAAAAATAAGGCAATTTGCTTCCCGTCTCTGATACATCGTTGCAAAAGAATTAAAATGAAAAAGAAAGATGATACGTTGGGGTGCATCTGCAGTGAACTGGATACAAGATTTACAAAACTGAGGTAAACATAGCTGAGTTGGAAAAATAATCATCATCTGATCTATATACCTAACTTTCTATTGTCTTAACTTTCGCAAATTTGAGTAACATAATATTTCTGCTTAGCAAATCAATCCCATTGTTTTGGAGAGTTATTCATTAAGAAGTTGCCTAAAAATGGGAAATTCTTCTTCAGTTCTTAACAATTCACGGCTTGATAAATAAGCCCGTATTTGAAATATTTTAGAATTTTTCTCTAAACCAAGAGATTTGACAGGCTACTATTGGTGAAAAAGTCTCCCTTACTCATATCCACCTGTTCACTGTCTTTTCCAATACAGGCTAAATGGAAAATTAAAAAGGGTCTTAACACTCAATGCACAAAACTACTATAGAGCAGTGTAGTAGTCTCTAGGCACCTTCCCTTCTTTAATATCAAAGCATGCAGAATGTGGCTCTCTACAGCATCTCAAAATGGCCGTCTTTAAATCAACATTGATAATGTAGGACTAACACTTAGGAATTATCAATGTAAATATTGTCATACTTGGGTGGCAGTGATTGACTGCAAGTGCTGAGGAAATGGTGTCCAAGCCCACTCTCCCAATAATTGCAGTTCAACTGGGAAACAATTTACCGTGATCATGTGAAATGATTAAGTCCTACAGTCACAGCTTGGCTGTTTTAGCCTCAATTTTTTACATTTTGATTTCAATTCACTACCATGTGAAGTGTAGTGAATAACATGAACTCACTTCTTTTTAAAATTAATTTACCTTACTCTACCCATGCAGTTATTTGAACCTATCACATATGTGTGTCTCCCACCCATTTATTTCTCCCACTTAAAGGGAAACTCCAGTGCCAGGAAAACAATCTGTTTTCCTGGTACTGCAGGTCCCCTCTCCCTTCCACCCCCCAATCTCCGGTTGCTGAAGGGGTGAAAACCCCTTCGGTAACTTACCAGAGGCAGCGACGATGTCCCTCGTCGCTGCTTCTTCCTCCGCCGCTGCCGCTCCTCCCAGTGATTGCATCGGCCGGTGGGCGAGACTGATCCCGCCCACCAGCCAGGGAGACCTAATGCGCATGTGCGGCAATGCCGCGCATGCGCATTAGAGCTCCCCATAGGAAAGCATTGAAAATGCTTTTCAATGCTTTCCTATGGGGAAATGAGCGACGCTGGAGGTCCTCACACAGCGTGAGGACGTCCAGCGACGCTCTAGCACAGGTTTTCTGTGCTATGAAGGAGGAAGTGCCCTCTAATGGCAGCTACTAGAGGAGGAGTTAACCCTGCAATGTAATTATTGCAGTTTATAAAAAACTGCAATAATTACACTTGCAGGGTTACGAGTAGTGGGAGATGGCACCCAGACCACTCCAATAGGCAGACGTGGTTTGGGTGCCTGGAGTGTCCCTTTAAAACAGATCTGTCACTTTTGAGTATTTCAAAAAATATATCATTGTAATGAAGTACTCATATTAAAGGCATTGTAATGTCACTGAAATTCTAACACATCCAAACAATATCATAAGATAAAGTAGTGACTACTTTGCCACATAGTAAATTCTTAAATTGACAAAAATTTACAAAAGCCAAGTTTTTGCATCCAAGTTTTGTCAGTTCTCTCAGGCTGCAGATAAATGGCTTCTAAAGAACTTCTATGGTCTCACAGGATCCTTCACAGACCTTTGGATAAATTTCCAGAATCTGAAGATGATTATTAGAAGAAAGATAGTGGTTCATGAGAGCTTTACGTTAGTACATTTTCCTGCAACTTCCTCCCACAACTACGGAATACTAAGTGGGCGTGTAACTTTTGGGGATTCAGAATAATATGCAAAAATCTCTAAAGGTAAAAGAGCTGATCTTACATTTACTTTTTTTACCCTGTTCCACCAATCAGTTCAGCTCACTCATTATTGAGTAATTTGAGGACAACACTGCTATATTTATCACAAACAATATCTTTGTTGGTAACAGCCTGTACAGACTGCAAAGAATGATGGATTATTTGCTATTAAAAAGCACCATTACTGCAACTCTATCTCTTACCACATATCCAATTGAATTCGAAACACAAAAAAACTACTTCTTACAACCAGCAGAGGAGGAATAAGGGTAAACGTTGAGACTTTTAGCACCAACAGTGGCATAGTAATTGTTGCTGAGTGACTTATAACGCACAAGCCCTACTTTGTTTTTTATATAAGTAATAACACTATACGACGTAATTCCTGCAGATTATATATTTTATTGCACAATATTTTACCATCTACCATGGGCTATAAAGAATGTTACTAGTTTGATTAACAGCTCCCCTCGCCCATTTTTTATTATCACACAATCTAGTACTGTTTTGAGCCTAAATATGAACTCTGAAGGAAACATACTGTTCTGAATGTTAGAGTATTGCAGAATTTTGTTATACTTATTTACTGGTTTAACAGAATTTTGGAATGACAAGCTATTGACAGTTGCTGTTTTTATCTAGTCAAACGAAACTGTACTCTTTGTCACATCTAAAGAATTCTTTGGATGTGCAAATAATACCTTCTAAAACTAGATATAACCTTTACAGTCAGACAAAAAAAAAAAGTTTGCTTAGACATTGCAATAACGCACAAATATTGTCACAGAATATAAAACATGTTTTATAAATCTTTGTGGCATTATCAAAAACAATTCCTCATCTTTATCTATCGGAAGCACGTAAGGGGACTACTTGAGAGGCTCCTTACAAATCAAAGCTGTGTGTTTCTTCACAGCTAAACAATCAATTAAACCTCATAACATATGTAGATACTAGTCGGTCAAGTAATCCTAAAGTCAGCCTTGCATTTATTTCTAATGCTAATATCTCATCAAGCTCAGAAGGGTATGCTGATGGGTTGAGGCAGGCAGCAACACAAACCAGCGGGGTGAGGGGTGGACACACCTCTCTGGCCAGTGATAATATGCTTAAACGATATCACATCCCCCTCATAGTAAGCAACTGTACTAATAGTGTCAAAGCATACAATAACTGTCTATTTTAATCACATCGCCCCAATGTAGAATAACTCTCACTTTTAATCACATTACTCCAACAAAGAATAACCATATTTCACACTCCCACGTGCTTACTTATCTTTCTTTCCCAGTAGTCGTTTTATTTTAACTATAGGGGTAACAAAAATGATTGACTTAAAGTAGCTCTGTCATTTTGCTATTTTTGTTTCCTTTCTTTATGTACCTTGGACCTTAATGACAACACACCCCTTTGTCACTCGTATCTATTTGTATTTATTCTCTTTTATTGCTAGTGTAATAAATAGTAATATAAATAGCAATATCTATGGACAGCCATTTTGTTCTCCTCTGACCATGATGTTTGCTGTTTACTCTTCTGTGGGATTGCTTTTACTCATGGATTCTGGGTAAATTTGATTGGTAAATGAAACAAACCTTGCAGCACTCTCTGCCCACTTCCAAGGTTTCTCAACTTGATTTCTATACATAAGGAAAAATATACCCTGCTTTTTTATATATTATGAATACTAGAGCACTCAGGAATCAGGAAAACAAGAGCTATATAGAAGCAGATAAGATACAGTTTGGTTTTGGTAATGCAGCCTCTTTAAAGTTCATTGCAGTGACATTCTATTTGCAATTATGTGAGCACAGCATCAGTACTGCACTA